AAATTGAGGATTTGAGGGGACATTTGGACCCCAATTTTGGTATTCTTGATATGCATAGACTCGTGGGAAGATAAGGAATCTATTGGTATAAAAATTTCTGAATTTAGAGAAGTGGGCCCGGGGGTCGGATTTTGGTAATTTCGGGATTTGTGCCCTTTGTTGATTGTTTTCGCTTGGGCTTTGTTCCCTTAGCATATGTTGACGTACTTGTTCTGATTTTGGGTATATTCGACGTGCGTGGAGGCTGATTCGAGGCGCAAAGGCATCGCAATATAGAGACTTAGCCGGTTCAAAGTGAGTAATGATTGTAAATGATGTTCTGAGGGTTTGAAACCCCGGATTGCACTTCGTAGTGCTATATTAAGGTGAGACACATGCTTGATGACGAGCGTGGGGTCGTTAACTACTGTGGATTGTGACTTGGTCTGCCCTGATTGATGATTTTACCGTGTATTTGATTGAAAACTATTTGCTATCATCATTATTTGGGTTGAATGCCATATTTGGGTCTTGTGCCAACTATTTGAACCCTTCGGGGATATTATTGATATCTTCCTCACTGTTTTGACCTTATACTTGAACTCCGTCATGTTAATTTCCACTGTTTTACTACTCAGCCATGTTTACTCAGTTTTAAGACTTAAATGATATTTTAAATGATGTTTGGGCTGACAAACACTATTTTACTATTGCCCAAGAGGCTTGTGATGATTTTGGACTGAGTAAGGCCGGGGGCCTACATTGTGAGGAAACACTGGTACTAATTTGAGGCCGAGGGCCTGAGATATGTACGCCACGAGGTGGCTTGATTGATATGAGGTCGAGGGCCAAGATTTGATGCCACGAGATGGCTTGTTATTGCGCCTGGGCCTTAAGGGGCCCATCCAGGAGTCTGCACACCCCCAGTGAGCGCGGGTACCCATTGTGATGTGAGATTGAGCCCGAGGGGCTGGTACTAATCTGAGATGTTGCCCGAGGGGCGAATTTGTTGATACTATGCCCGAGGGGAGAACTTCTATTTGTTTACTTTACCTTAATTATCTGTCAAATTACCTGTTTACTAGTTGAAAGAGGGTTTTACTTGAATTTTACTGGTTTTACTGATTTTACTGCTTCGTTATAGAATGCCTTGCGTTTTACGTGTTTTCTTACTTTCAGTCATTATTTACATTTGTTACTCACTGAGTTGGAGTACTCACTTTACTCCCTACACCCCTATGTGCAAATTCAGGCATAGCTGGTCCCGCTTACGAGTGCTGATTCATTCCTGCTTCAGGCGGATCTCGAGGAGTCTTTAGGTAGCTGTTGGCATTCTCAGCCCGGAGCTCCTCCCTATCTCTTTTCCTTATGTCCTTAGTTCAGTGTTAAACGATGTAGTTACATTTGAGTATTCAGTGTTGTTAGATGCTCGTGACTTGTGACACCCCGGTTAGGGCTGTGTTGGGTTGTTCTTCCACGTATTTATGATATTATCTGCTACTTTGGATTATTTATTCATGTTTTGATTGTTTTTGAATGCTTAACTGTAAATAAATTGGGAAATGGGAAGCGTCAGCTGGCCTTGTCTTTACGAGATACGTCATCACTATCGGGTCCGGGTTTGGGGTCGTGACATTCAAAACCGAACATCCTGGCAAATCAAAATAGCAGAAATAAACTCGGGGAAAGCAATTAATAGGGGATCGGGGCGTAAATTCTTAAGACGACCGGCCGGGTCGTCACAATTTTACTCTTGTTTGGGCGATTTTTGGAGAGCTTCAAGAGAGGGATTTCATCATCAAACATGAGGTAAGTTAATTTCACCCCTTGTGAGTTAAATGCATGGTTTTGTTATGGATTTGAGCATGAAAATTGGTAGAAACTTGGGGTTGAGGGAAAACCTAGAAAATTGATATTCTTGAATTTTGACCACGATTTTGGGTATGAAATTAGGAGAAAATCATATATTTGAGTTCGTGAGTTCATGGGTAAACTTTATCTTCGAGAAATTTCGGAATCCGGGCATATGGGCCCGAGAGCAATTTTGTTAACTTTTCGATCGGGGGTTAGGAATTGTTATAAATTAGATTGTAATGAGTAATTGAACATATATTGATGAATTTGCATAATTATTGGCTAGTTTTAGAGCATTTAGCATTGAATTGAGTCTTTGGAAGGGCGTAGAATGCCGATTATGGATCTTTAGAGCGAGGTGAGTCTCCTTTCTAACCTTATAAGAGGGAATTGTCCCCATATGTGATATAATTTGTTATGTGCTCCTATTTGTGGGGGCTACGTACGCACGAGGTGACGAGAGTCCGTGCGTAGCTACTATTATGTGTAAGTCCAGGTAGTCTAGGACCCAAAAGCATACTATACTTGGAATATATGTAATCTTGTTGGCAGTTGAATTGCTTAAATCTTATCGAATTGATAAATAAATTTCTAAAAGAGTTAAGCTTCATTTTCTTAAATCGCTAAAAGAGAATTGACTTTTATTTGGATAAACGTTCCCCGATAAATTCTTAATTTGCTGTTTGAGCATGTATTTATATGTGTACCTGCGTCGCATGTATGATTCGCCAGCAGGGTGTTTGTTTATTTATGTTGATCGCGCCGCATGTATGATTCGCGAGAGGGGTAATAGATGCATCTATGGTTCGCACCGTTCGAGCCTCGGCAGTGCACATTTTACATTTATGTTGGATCGGGTCGTACGACCTCGGCATAATATGCGCATGCTTGTATTGTTTGCCTGAGATTTATAAATGTTGATAATTGTGTTTCCTGGACAGAGATAAATTGATAAAAGATGATGAAAAATAAATCTTTGGAATCCATTATTATTTGAAAAGTTGTTTACCTATTATCCGGCTTTATGAGTTTATAATTGCTTTATAAAAATTCATGATCTCCTCCCATTTTTTTACAACTATTATTATTGGACCACTAGTAAGTGTCGAAGTCGACCTCTCGTATCTACTTCTTCGAGATTTGATGGGATACTCATTGGGTACACGTTATTTTCGTACTCATACTACACTTGCTGTGCATTTTTGTTGCACAGGCGCATGCACCTCTAGTGGCCTAGCGGGCGTAGCAGCATGGTTGATACAGAGACTTAGGTGAGCTGCACTTCTCGAGACGACCCGCAGCCAGCAGGGTTTCTTTCAGATTACTGTATTTACTTTCTGTCTAATATTGTATTCCGGACGGTTGTTGTATTACATTATTTCCTAGAAATTGCTCATATACTTGTGACACCGAGTTCTGGGATAATTATGTGGTATTTTGTATTAACTTCTTAACATTCATATTCGATTTGAAATGATTATCCTTTACTAGTGAAATTGAAGGAAAATCATGGTTTTCAAAATTATTAAAACGAGAATTAAATTAAATATTTTGGTTGGCTTGCCGGACAGCGGTGTCCGGTGCCATCACGACCCTTAGTGGATTTTGGGTTGTGACAGCGACCATAAAATTACGTTTACTATGGTTCCACTAGTAAATTGTCACTAATCGTTATATTTTGGATATACTTAGCAATTTAATTATGAAATATAAATAATAAATAGATATTGATACTAGTTAATTACATTGTTGCACTTTATATATAGTTACATTGAACGTCTCTATATATATATATATATATATATATATATATAATAAGTAGATATTGATTGATAGCGACCATAAATTAAGTTTACTATGGTTCCACTAGTCAATTGACACCAATCGTTATATTTTGGGATATAATTAGCATTTTAATTTTGAAATATAAATAATAAGTAGATATTGATGCTAGTTAATTACATTGTTGCGCTTTATATATAGTTACATTGTACGTCTATATATATGTGTATAGTAGCCAACATATAATTTCATTCATTAAGGTCATGCCTATATTGATAGCGACCATATAATTACGTACTACGGTTCCAATCATTATATTTTGGATATAATTAGCAATTTAACTATGAAATATAAATAATAAGTATATATTGATGCTAGTTAATTATATTGTTGCGTTTTATATATAGTTACATTGAACGTCTATATATATAATAAGTAGATATTGATAGCGACCATAAATTACGTTTACTATGGTTCCACTAGTCAATTGACACCAATCGTTATATTTTAGGATTTAATTAGCAATTTAATTAAGAAATATAAATAATAAGTAGATATTGACACTAGTTAATTACATTGTTGCGCTTTATATATAGTTACATTGAACGTTTATATATATATATGTGTGTGTGTGTGTGTGTGTGTGTGTGTGTGTGTGTGTGTGTGTGTGTGTATGTGTGTATAGTAGGCAACATATAATTTCATTCATTAAGGTCATACGTATATTGATAGCGACCATATAACTATGTTTACTATGGTTCCACTAGTAAATTGACATCAATCGTTATATTTCGGGATATAATTAGCAATTTAATTATGAAATATAAATAATAAGTAGATATGGATTCATATTTTCTTGCACCACCGAATTTTCTTGGTTTGAATCCATTTTTTAGATAAGGTAAAGTGTCCACTTGACTTGGTTTGATATGAAAGAAGTATAATAAATCGTATACCGTATTTGTTTTTAAGAAAGGAAGAAAATACAATAATTTGTATACACACTAAATCGTATAATTTGTATAAACATAAAATATACATAAATACAATGAAAATACAAATATAATACACAAGACTCTTCAGCTCCCAACATTTAATTTTCACATATTTCAAGGCTTAGAATTTAATTTTGTGTTTTGGAGGGAAAAATATAAGCTAATTAATTAGGGGGTCTTGGATGTTTTTCACTGGTGTGGCCAAAGTTGGGTCATACCAGTTGGGCCGTTTAGCATCACCCTTTACAAATTTGTGCCTATTAGACGTTACCATAATCTTGTAGTCAGTGCATTGATCAACTTTACTCTTGATCAAAACAAGATAGTAAAATTGGACTTTCGAGGTTATTGGTAACCCTATCAACAAAGAAATTTTAAAACTTCAAAAAAGAAACGAAAAAAAAAATTCTTTTAAACAAAGTATAACGGAAGTCTTAAAACATTGTCAAAAAGTAAAGGGTATCAATGGCCTCGAAGTGTAACAAAAGGTAATCTTAGGCAGAATAAATGAGGTCCAAGCAATAAGAGCTTGACATTATCAATGATTTCTTCCACTTCCACAGGACTTTTTGGCTTTATCCACCTTCAACTAGTGTTGTACCTAAGCTGTGACCTGCATGTATTCTTCATGGGTAAAAGGACAATCCCATATAAAAGAAACAAAATTTCTTGAAGGAATACTACAATGTGATGGCAAAATTTTTTGTAGTCACTCAGTTGAAGGAAATCCTAGCAGTAAAAAGGGCAAAACGTTGAGCCAGATAGTCGACAGGCAACAATAAGCAAATTATCATCTCCTTGCAGCAATCTTGAGCAGAGGACATACAATTCCCTGTATCTGTTGCAATGTCTGTTGTACTCTTATTTCCTCCTCAACGTCTCGTTTAAGATTCCTAATGTGACCTCTCAGTTCATCTGAAAACTTAATATCTTCAGTTCGCATCTCAATTACTTTCTTTGTCAAGCCCATCAAAAACCTTGAAAATCTAAGCATGGTGGAGTACCTCTGCAGAAACCTCAGAAGCAAACCAAGTTCCTCAGTTTCCAAGTTTGACACACATCGCAACAACTTCTTCCGAGCAACCAATTCCTCCATCACAGCAACCACATTTTCCGGGTTCTTCCCACTCAAAGCAGCTACCAAAGCCTCCTTATGCATAAATTTCTTCAACAACTTATCATGTTCCGCCACCTTAATCTTCTTAGGCTTCTTAATCAAGTAATCCCATTCGGATGGCTTCTCATTCTGCCCCCGCTGAAAATACCTGAAATAAGATGGCCTCAACACCCGCCTCTGAGGCTCCTCCAGCGGAGCAAATCCACCCCCAAAACCCCCAAGTTCCAAACTTTCACTATCCTTCACCTTTCTCCTACCAATATACATTGTCCCATTCGACGCCCCAATCACCCTCGTAGAACAATCCGGGGAAAACCCAACAGACATTAAAGGATTAGGAAACCTCATCGAATGAGTAATCCTGAACTTAGCATAATCAAAAACCTTCATATATCCATCCAAAGACACACTCAAAATCCGATACTGCTGGGCCTCCTCGCCACTCTCCTTCCCAATTTTACCAACACAAATCGAAGTAACAGTCTTGTTATGACTCTCCATTGTATATAACAACTTCCCACCTCCAAGAACATCCCAAATCTTCACAGAATTCGCACCAGCAGTAGCAACTAACCCACCGGATGGCAAGTAAATCACATCCTCAACAGGCTTCCCATGATCAAACTCCATCACAGAACCCGAATTCAAAACCCTAACATCCCAAACTTTCACCGTATGATCATAAGAACCCGAAACAAACATATCATCACTAACCGGTGAAGCATCGCCACACCTCACATAATCCTTATGCCCCAAAAGATCGTAAATTTTGGACTCAGTAGTAATATCCCAGTACTTAACAACAGCATCATCACCACCGGAGAGCAGGTGGAGCTTATCGGCGCGTGGGTAACGGACAACACGAACGGGTCGGGTATGGCCGCGAAGACGACGGAGAGGGACACGGGATTTAAGGTCAAGAACCTGAACGGCGCCTGAAAGGTCACCGGCGGCGATGAGACATCCATCGGAACGGAATGAAGCGGAGGTGACTGTGTCTTTGAAGGCGGAGGATATGGTGGTTTTGGGTTCGAGAGTTTGGCCGGAGAAAATGGAAACAGTGGCAGAATGTGTGGCGGCGAAATCGTGAGGGGATATCGGGGAAACTGATAGGGAGGTGATTGCAGAAACTAGGGTTTGGGATTGAAGGTCTTTAGGGGTTTTGAATGATCTCCAATACTTGGATTCAGGGGTTGGGGTAGTGGAATTTGCTGAAGTGGGTTTTAATTTGGGCTTCACCGGGAAAGTTCTTGCTATGGATTGATTTTCTGCCATTGTTGAAGCTCTCTGCTATGCAAATGAACTTCGGCTGAAGCAGGACGGCTCTAGGGTAAGGCATGAGCTTACTACTATATCATTATATGAGTAATAAATATATGTAATTTATATTGATACAATTATTGATAAAATATTTGAAATTTTTATTTTTTTAAAAAAAAATTGATAGATGTGGATTGAATGAGCTAAGAGGATAAAAATTTTCTCTCACTAAATTAAATAATATATTTTCCTTCTCATTAATCCTATTTTTCTTCTTCTTTATGTAGTCTTTTTCATATTTTTCACTATTTTACTTTTTAATTTCAATTCAGATTCTCTAAATTAGCTATTCCTTTTTATCACATTTGATTAATCCACACATCAGAAAATAAGTTCTTTTTTGTCTTATCTTTTTTAACTAAGAAATCCCCAAGATAAGCATACATAAGGTTCAAAATACGATGGATAATATGCTCAACCCTTTTACCATTTTCACATACTTTTGTACATGGAAGAGTTCAATATTGCATGATGTGCACCTAACCCACACATTATACATTGCTCTCTTACCACTAGATCAAAACCATATTGTCACGACCCAAAAGGCCAGGGAGAACAAATATCACCATCTATGAATCTCAAGGCAAGCAATACAAGCATACACAAATCATGTCGAGGTCATACGGCCCGATCCAACAAATATTTAAACTATGCACTGCCAGAGGGTTGAATGGCGCGAACCATAGATGCATCTATTACCCCGCTCGCGAATCATACATGCGACGCATTCAAATATAAATAAACAATCACCCCGCTCGCGAATCATACATGCGACGCAGGTACACATTCAAAGAGTCAATCAAGACCTCATCAGGGAAACAATTATTCAAGGAGGTGTCAATTTCTCTTTTACAAGTCAAGAAAACGAAGTTTAACTTTTTTAGAAATTATTTACCACTTCGATACGATTAAAGCATTTTAAATTGTCAATAAAGTTACAATTATTTCAAGTAAAGCATGTTTTTGGGTCCTAGACTACCCGGACTTAAGCATAATAGTAGCTATGCATGGACTCTTGTCACCTCGTGCGTACGTAGCCCCCACAAATAGAAGCATATAACTAATTAATTCACCTATGGGGACAATTCCCTCTTATAAGATTAGAAAGGAGACTCACCTCACTCCGAAGTTCCATAACCGGCATTCCACGCCCTTCTGAAGACTCAAATCAATGCACAACACTCCAAAACTAGCCAATAATTATGAAATCCAGTAATATATGCTTAATTACTCATAATAATCCAATTTATAACAATTTCTAACCTCGATCGAAAAGTTGACAAAATCGTCCCCGGGCCCACGTGCCCGAATTTCGAAATGTTTCGAAGATAAACTTTACTCATAACCTCACGAGCTCAAATATATAATTTACTCTCAATTTCATTCCCAAATTCGTGGTTAAATTTCAAAAATACCAATTTCTAGGTTTTCCACCAAAACCCCAAGTTTTCACTAATTTTCCATGAATTATATATATATATATATATATATATAATCTAGGTATTTAACTTGCAATATGTGGGAATCACTTACCTTGACATGGATGATGAAGATGAAGCTCCAAAATCGCTCTTAGGTCGGCTCCCATGGAGGAAATGAGATGAAATGAGGCAAACCCATTTTTGCAAACTTATACACTGCCCAGGCGATCCTTCTTCATGTTCGCAATGAACAAAATTCCCAAAAGTCATTTCCAAACTCTTTTCAGACAGCCTCTAGTATAATAACTATAACGTTTTGTATAAAATTCCAAATAACAAATGGTTTAATGTTTTAAAAAATAGACACCAAGATCTACAACTTTCATGTTTTGGTCATATCCTAATTCCTTATAGATTTTAGGGTATAAGCTTCCAAAGTCAGCTCTGCACAATACAAATTTCTTCTTCATCTTCCCCGACAGCCTGTAGTGTACCAGCCATAACTTTTTGTATACAAATCCGAATGGTAAATGGTTTACCTTTCTGAAAACTAGATACAAAGGGATACAACTTTCAATTTTGAATCATCTCAGAATTCCTTATAGATTGTGAGATATGAGCCTCCAAAACCAGACCTACGTAACAGAGATTTTCTTCTTCGCGAACGCGAGAATTCCTTCGCTAACACGAAGAACAAAATCCCTGAAGCCAAATCCTTCTTCGCGAACGCGAAGAACAACACCAAACACCAGCATTAGCTATAGCAAAATAGCCCGAAATGATCCGAAACCACCCCGAAACACACCCGGGCCCCCGTCCAATCACACAAACCAGTCCCATAACATAACACGGACCTGCTCGAGGCCTTAAATCACATCAAACAATATCGAAATCATGAATCGCACCCCGATTCAAGCTTAATGAACTTTAGAACTTCAAACTTCTACATTCGATGCCAAAACCTATCAAATCACGTCCGATTGACTTTAAATTTTGCACACAAGTCACATTCAACGTTACAGATCTACTCAAACTTTCGGAATCAGATTCCGACCCCGATATCGAAAATTCCACTCCTGGTCAAACTTCTCAAAAACCTTCAAATTTCTAATTTTAGCCAAATGACTCCAAAATGACTTACGGACCTCCGAATCCACTTCCGATCGTGCTCCCAATACCAGAATCACCATACAATCCCAAACGGACATCGATAACACTGAAATGCGCTTCAACCCAGATTTATAAAATTCTTCCAAAATGTTAACTTCCACAATAGGTGTCGAAACACTCTTGGGTCATCCAAAACCCGATCTGGACATACGTCCAAGTCCGATATCATCATACGAACCTGTTGGCATCTTCAAATCCCAATTCTGAGGTCGTTAACTCATAAATCAAACCTTACTCAATTCTTTCAACTTAAAGCTTCTAAAATGAGAATTTTCGTTCCAAATCAATTCCAAACTTCCTGAAATTCAATTCCGGCCACGCGTACAAGTCATAATACCTGAAGTGAAGCTGCTCATAGCCTCAAACTGTTGAACGACACGCTAGATCTCAAAAAGACCAATCGGGTCGTTACATTCTCTCCCACTTAAACATACGTTCATCCTCGAACGTGTTAAGAACTGCACTGGAGTTGTCCAAAATCACTGTTTAACACCTCGTGCACCTACCTGTGCGATCAAATCTGAAGATATCCTCTTTTATTTAGGCAAATGAGCCTTAGAGCCTAGTTTCAACATCCAAAATTCTTTGTCAGGCCTGCTTCCAGCATATAAACACCATATCAATCACCACACGATGCACCGATACAAGATTGCATACTTTTGCTGAATTTACACTATGCACTACATAACTCACATGATCATAATAACATCCTCTGATAACGATAGCCAAGATTCCACGAATCTGATGCTCCCAACGCACCCCATGACATATATAAATCCTATCCTAACCCTTTGCAATACCGCTACGACGGAAGAGATGTGTAGAAATTCATAACCAATTGCCGAGCCAACAAATCATTGAGTCTATACTCCTGACAAGAACCATTACCTCATTTTGAACCAATTAGTGGTATTTGCTCTTTAATACACTTCATATAAATCTACCCGCACTGATCCCAGGTCCAACAATCTCGTCTCACCCAGTACGAACTGCTCAGGCAATAAGCCACCCATACATGACCAAAAGCCTCATATGATGCCACAATGTGGCAATAGGCTACCAACTCGAACGTGATACATAAGGAAAATGAACTCTGGAAGGGACTCTTCAACTCACGCAACTAATATGGACTAAATGGGAAACAAAACACACAAAAATAGAATATAGGAAACTGTGCTCAACATCACACTGTTGCGGCTTGCAACTCGATCCAAACAACGTACCTGTGGCGGCGTGCCACCCGATCCACACATAAAATTCACATAAGAAGATACACATCGAGTTAAATCGCATCATTACTACAAAATACCGAATATCGGTCACAAGCATGCTAAATGCATAATACCATCTGTGGGGAGACATATAGTGCCATAAGCTACAAAACTCAAGCACAACTGAGGTGAGATATATGATCTGAATCTCAAGAGCTATCCTGCTCACATAACACCGTCGCTACGCGGAACCTCAATACATAAGAAATTTATCAAGCCGTTTCACAACTCACACGTCACAATATAGCATCACATGAAATAGCCGATGATGAAATAGCATCTAACGTACGAATACTCCTCCATGAGGAGTGTTATGCTGAAATGAACTCATCTGGCCTGATATAAAGCCTATATTCATATTTAAATCCACTCACAGACCACAAGCCGATTCTGATCGCACCGTGCTAGGAAAATAACCTTTCAAGGGTCCATAAATACCCCTTTTTCCTATCACAAGGACAACCATCATAATCGGAGTAAACCTCCACAATCCATAACCCAATAAATCGCGTGCCCTCCATGCATAAATTCTCAAATTAGTGATACTACCACAATCTTCACAGTTAGTTTAAATCTTTAATCAATCAAGTGAGTACATGTCACACTTATACAATATTCCCGCGAGGTACGCTCCCTTGACCTTCCGCACTAGATAACGAGTTTGCACATCCGTACTACCAGTCACACAAATGTTGTAAAGCATATCAAGAATCCGTAACCAAGATGCAAAGCCTCCAACACAAAATGCCGATCTCAAGTGATGCTGAAGACAATACTAGCTTACTCCAAACATCCAAATCCCCTTCCTGCTCATCCGAGCTCATGACATCCTCATCAAACACCAAACCGCAACCTTGATCCTCACTTTCAAATTTCATACCGCTCACTGCACCTAACATGCCAACATGTGATAGCGCCAGAATTTTATCATAACTTCTGAACCACTAATAGGGTAAACACTTCATCACCTAGAAACATTTTACTTAACTCATTCCAAGAGAACCATAGCAACACACGAGTGAATTCTTATAATGGTAGAACATTCAAATCCTCAAGTAGTGGTCTAAACTACCATAATCCTTCCGGGATTCGCCTACACCTAACATGCCATAATACTTGAATACTTCCAAATACAATCAATTACGGCGGTCATCGAGCCTCAC